TTATCTGTCAGTGGAGCAGCTTCAAGATAAGTACAAAGCGGTTTTCTCCGAAGAAATACCAGGGAACAACGGACCTCCAGTCACACTGTAGCTGCGGGAGGATGCGACGCCGAAGTTTTTGAAAGCTAGGTCGGTGCCTTTCGCCCTACGAACGTCAGTCGAGAATGAGCTTGACCGACTGCAGGAACAAGGGATCATCGAACCGACGCAACATTCGGAATGAGCGACACCACTCGTTGTCGTCCGAAAGAAGAACGGTACCCTACGCCTCTGCGAAGACTACAGGAGCACTGTCAACCTGGCGACAAAAGCATCTTCCTACCCACTGCCGACACCGGAAGAGGTTTTTAGCACGCTTCGTGGTGGAAAAATCTTCAGCACCTTGGACTTGACACAAGCCTACCAGCAGCTGAAGGTGAGCGAATCAACGTCTGAACTGCTCACAATAAACACTATTAAGGGTCTTTACAAAGTTAAAAGGCTACCATTCGGAATATCTGCAGCACCAGCAATCTTCCAGAAATTTATGGAGTCTACACTTAGCGGGATCCCAGGTGTTTGCGTCTACTTGGACGATGTTATTGTCGGTGGCGCCTTCAATGAAGAGCACACAGAACGCTTGGAGCTCATTTTGGAAAGGCTAGCAAATGCTAATTTGCGCATCAGTAAAGAAAAATGTGTTTTTGCAGTGCCTGAAGTGAAGTTTCTTGGACATCAAATTGACGCGCAGGGTATCCATCCCACTGAAGACAAAGTGCGTGCAATCACCGAAGCACGAGCGCCTACTAACAAGCAAGAACTGCAGTCATTTTTGGGGCTATGGACGTTCTACGACCGCTTCTTAGAACATCGAGCTACAGTGGCCAACGATCTATATCAGCTCCTGTAGAAAGAAGTCCCATGGACTTGGTCGCCACGCCACCAAGAGTCATTTGTTGCCCTTAAGCAACTACTTCGCAAGTCTACTGTTCTGCGACACTACGACGAAAGAAGACCTCTACTGCTAGCCTGTGACGCATCACCATACGGAGTGGGAGCAGTCCTCTCCCAAGTTGACGACCAGGGACGGGAAGCCCCGATCGCTTTTGCTTCGCGCACCCTATCGCAGGCAGAGAGGAATTATTCCCAGCTAGATAAAGAGGGACTTGCCATCGTCTACGCAGCAGATCACTTTCGGCAGTACATTACCGGCAGGAAAGTGACTTTCATAACAGATCACCGGCCCTTATTGGGTATTATGGGTCTCCAGAAGCCAATGCCACAGACATTGTCGCCGCGAATGACACGATGGTGCATCAAGATGTCGGCGTACGATTACGAACTCGTACATCGCACTGGGAAGAAACACCAGAATGCCGACGCACTAAGCCGCCTGCCGCTAGACACCACAATAGATGAACCACCCCCGCCGGGTGATATACTCATGTTCGAGGCGCTGCCGAACCTTCCGCTAACAGCTGACACGGTAGCATCATCAACGCAGGAGTGCACTGTCTTGAAGGAAGTCTACGCAGCTATACAAGAAGGCAACATGCAGAAGCTAAAGGGTGAACACTTCAACGCTTACCGCAAGCAAGCTGCGGAGTTGAGCACTCATCGCGGTTGCGCCACCTTGGGATCAAGGGTTGTAATTCCAGCGGCACTTCGCGAACAGGCCATGTCGCTTGTCCGCGCAGGTCATCGAGGCATTGTTGCCATGAAAAAGTGCGCCAGAAGTTATATGTGGTGGCCTGGTATCGACCATGATATAGAATTAACAGTTCACGATTGCCAGCCTTGCCAATGCAACCACAGAAGCCCACCAAGAGCCCCTATTCTTGAATGGGAAAGACCAGACACGCCTTGGCACACCCTGCACATTGATTTTGCTGGACCTATCGAAGGGTGTTCGTTCCTGGTGGTTGTAGACGCATACGCCAAGTGGCTGGAGGTAAAACAAATGGCTACAACGACATCGGCAGCAGTTATCGACACTCTGCGGTCGTTGTTTGCAACGTTTGGCCTACCGCGCAAGGTGGTCTCGGACAACGGCACTCGGTTTGTGTCCACCGAGATTCTCAAGTTTTACAGCGACAACGGCGCCTCGTCTGTTACATCAGCTCCTTACCACCCGGCTACGAACGGACAAGCCGAGCGCTACGTCGCTGAGCTAAAGCGCGCCCTTACTAAAGACAAGACTGGGACAATGGGCGTGCTGAGACAGGCGAGAAATGTTCAACCGTTGCGGACAATTTCGGGTTACCACGGAGCACTCTGAGTACCTTGTTTAAGTACAAAGCAGATATGAAGGCATGAGTGGCTGAGCAACGAAATTTGAAAGCCTGTCTTGTGTGGACTTCTACCCACCGGTATGTGGAAAAGGCACTCTATGCCTGGTTTTTAGGCGTGAAGAACATTCCAGTGGATGGCCCGATGCTGATCGCCAAGGCCAAATGGTTTGCCGCTGCACTCGGTGAAACAGTTTTGCCAACAACACCGTGTGGCTTCACTGATTTAAGCAGCACTACTGCATCGTTGGCAAAACCAATTCTGGCTCAAGCGAAGCTGTCAGCAGCCAGGACGTCCAGCAGTGGATGACAAAGGAGTGGCTAGGAACCTCCGCAAAGTTTTCTCGCGCGGAGATCTTTATATCCTGGTGGAGAGATGTGAAGATGGACACAGTGGTCAACTGCTTCCACAAGGCAGGCTTCGAGATGGCGGAACTTGCGAAAACCCGTGAAGAGGACGACGAGCGCATAGACGCGTTTCGCAAGTTGTCTTACCGCTTTCCCGCAGCAGTTCCACCCGAAGTGTTCGCGGACGACTCCGCGGGAGTGGACTGCAATGCCCAGGCCAACAGCTCATGTAACCAGGAGGATCGTCCGGACGAGGCGCTGGCTGCACGCTCGTAATCCACCACTGAAGTAGCGGCAGCGTTCGGCATGATTCGCCGCTGTATCGGCCGCATGGGGGGCACCGGTCTGTCGCACCTGGATAGCCTTGATAAGATTGAGACCAGCGTCTTCAACATTTCAAAAACGAAGAAGCAGGCCAAGATTAGCAATTTTCGTCACGTAAATAAATAATTAATATGTGTGCAGCATGTGTGTGATATCAGTTGTCATCCTTGAATGCACCTATTGTAGGTGATGATCTGCTACAGGTAAGCTCTCGTGGCCTCTATTTTTTTATATGGAATTTCTCGTATATCAAACTGATTTGCAATCCCATTTCATTTCGATATATCCGTGTTTGACTGTGTAACGAAATCCTTTCGATGCTTGTGCAGTTAAATCAACAATGGCAACCAGGGAAATTTTTCCGCATTTGACAATGTTTACGTGCTTTGAGGTAAGCAAGCCTTTATACAATGCTTATTCAAAAAGAATAAAAAAAAAAAAACCTGGTACAGCACTATGCAAACGTTTGACTGAGGTTTTTTGCTGGGTAAGCTGCTCCAAAACATAATCAATGAATCAGTGTTGAAAGCAAATTTTCCTGTTTTACAACTGCGACTGATTTCTTGCAACAGTCTTTGCAAACAGTAGACTGAAAAAAAAAGAAAAAAAGAAGACATTTCTTTTCTGTTTGTGCTTCCCTGCACAAATAACGGTGATAGCTAATTGGTACATTTTTTTTAAAGATCTTTCTTGGGGATCTTCGACAGGAAAAATTTTTGGTCTGTCTGTCTGCCTGTCTGTCTGTACATTTGTTTGTTTGTCCGTTCTAACGATACCTCAAATGGCACTAAACGGCCAACCCAATCCGCAGCGCCCACCAATATTGCTCAACGTTTAGCGTTCATAGTTATGCGATTGTCAATTAAAAAAGCAAATATTGTGCGTATCTGGGGCGCCATAACAACACGTCTATGTTTTGTATGTCTGCCTTTATACTAGAAGAGGCACACACAAGTAACTCTAAAAACTGTAGCATTTATTGCGCTGCGCTGACAGTGCAACATGATGCTCAAGAAGGTGTTTCGAATGCTTTTATACGACTGACACGGTGGTGGCACCTACCCTTCGCTTTGCATTCTACACCTTAACACCTCCGAGACTGGCGCACATCTTTATCCGCGGTCGCGCACGCCTTCGTTTTCGAAGATAACTGCCAGATGGCACTCGTGTCTAACGTCCACTACACACTCGAGACACTCTAACGCAGCGCCTTCAGAATACTTTTCACCGATTTTCTTGTGCAGAACATCAAATAAACAGTTTTGTTCACTCTATCAGACGCAAGACTATTGTCTTTCGACGACATTTACAGTGTAACACTGTAGATTCGGGCCAATTTTTTTACTTTGAACCGACAAAAAGCATTTGCACGCCTCAGCGAAAACAGAGCGCAACTGTACCAGGCGAAACTGAACACCTAACAACGGCACCACCACATTTTTATAATGTAATGTCCTGTGAAATTTCTCTATGACCATTATTGCAAACTAGGCACTACTTCAGCAGAATATTTTGTCAACAAATTTCGCGGAGCTCTAACAGCAAACATACCAAATGCGACAAACAAGCCTTCACATGCATTCACATAAACGGTGAGCCTTGATGTTGAAATATACGGGGCTTGCATGCTTAAAAATGTTTATTTACAAGGCAGAGTTAACGCAATCAAAATTGACAAGTAATCAGTGGCTGGCATTTGCTTATTCTGTGGCGACTCAATGAGCATTGTTTGCAGCTTGCTTTAGGAGCTCCAATGCAGCGTCCAAATTCTCATATACTGAGAAATGCTGCTGTTCTATTGTTTTGCATATCTAGTAAACTTGCTTTTATTTCGTTTTGCAACGCATTGTGATCACTCTAGAGCAACTTCCTGTGTGGAGCGGTGAAAGCCAGGGAACTTCCAGTTCGAATTAACTGTTGTGGATACTGACAAGTATAAATTATTGGAATTTTTCCTCCATTGAAATACACTGGACTGTGCAGAGGCGAGGTCGTCACTTGACTGTAAGTTTGAATTAACCGAGATTGAATTAACGAGCTTTTACTCTACTTTCTATATAGCACTTCCCAGGAAGCCAGACTCATCACTGGAATTTAGGCAGCTCCAGGTGATGAGGTGAGTGACTGAAGCACCATGTGGTGCTCTTTCATTTGACCTGGCTATGATTTTTCGAGAAGTGTAAAACTGCAAGTTTTAATGCATGTAAGACCTCCAGCACTTGTACTAAAATTAGATCAAAACATGGGGACTGTCCAACTGAAGGCAGTGATCAGCACTACACATAAGCTGATGCATCTCTTTTGTTTTTATGCTTGAGTTCATAGACTCAGCCCTGCCTGCAGCACAGTGTGGAGTTACCCACAATTTCACAGGTGTTCCACCGGCCACAAAACGTGGTAGATAGTACTCCACAAACTCGTTTCAACTGCATGTATTGTCTCCGTGACAAAAAGCAATGTGCAACAGAATTCCCCATTGTTGTGCCAAAACCATGAAGTATGCTGGCCCGATCATCCTCAAAATTTTCTCAGTTGCACTAATTTCAGGGAGAAATGGAGGCCACATTGCCCACCTGTACTTTGCATCATTGATCAAACCGAGCGCGCTGACTTTAACCTTAAATTAAAAGTTATATGCTTATTGGTGAGGACACTCGCAAGACACGATCAACCAGATAAAGTATGAACTGAAGTAACAACACCGTGTGCCTATCGGTTTGCTCACTGTGCACAGCAGATACCTATCAGTGGGATGACGGAACTTAAAGCATAAAAAAAAAACGCGTTACCGTAGCGATTAACACTTCGCGGGAAATACGTGTTTCTTAGTCAGCAAATGCAGTTATAGCATGTTAGGAACGTATGCTACGTTTTTTGCGCACAAACAAGGTTGACGTGCTGCGAACGCTGTCGTTGCAAGTCACCGCGTTGGTTGCTGTAGCAATGGTACATGAAACATTTTTCTGACTTGGATATTGCATCGTCCCGGCGATATCTGGTGCCGTCGACGGACTAACGGGCACGTGCCATTGTTGTCTTATCTGGTCGAATATGCCTTGCAAGCGAGCCTAGAAGTTGTGCCGCACACCTAACAAAGAAAAAAAGAAAGAGCGGGGGCAGATGTAGTGCTTCGAAAATTGCTTGGCCTTGTTGTAACCCGCGCAGATTGCTGCCTAAGCCACCTTTGCCACAGTACACTTGTATCTCACGGAAAAGTCAATTATGACTTAAAAGGGGCTGTTAGCACTAGTCACAGGACACAGCACAGTTTGTAATATTTGTTCAATTGCTCATGCGCGTATGTGCCACATAATTTTGAGTACTAGTAAGACTTCCAATGTCTAAAAAAGTTATTACTGGAAATCATTTGGAGCACCGAATGACATTCCTTGTGCCCCCTCCCCCCTTCTCAAAAAAAAAAAAAAAATAGGAACCTTGTGCTCCAGCTTTTTCGTTTTGTTTTTTTCCCCGCCACCCCTACTCTTTGGTTTTAAGATTCTCACGAATTTCAAGGCTGACAGCCACATTTTAATTCGAGAGTCTCACAAAGAATTAGACAGACACGTCAAATGTTGATGTGGACTTCATTGGCTGTGTTCCAGTCCTTACCTTAAAGAGCATCGTAGACAGTCTACGCTGACAGCTTTGAAGACAGCATTGAGCTCATGTTGTTTTGAGAAATGGAACACGTCTATACGACGAGACGCTACGTCGGATCAAGAAAAGAGCTTCTGAAAAAGAGTCTGCTTCTGGATTCACATTGAGCTTCTGGAAAAGCGTCTGCTTGTGTGCAGACAACTATTCCAGTGAGATCTGAGCATTTCGCTCAGCGGCCATCTTGCTTAGACAGCAAAGTAGCCTGCATCGTATTTGTCTCCGATGCTGTCTTCTCGAAGCTGTCTATTTTGCCGGCTATGAGAGACTTGGAATGGGACTTAAGATGGTTGCTGTTCATTTTGTCGTATATTTAGCCGGCAAGTATTGGAACACCCCCTTTTTTGCTGAGTGCAGTAAATCAGAATGCTACTTTTATTGAAATAGTAGTGCTCATGTTCTCTCAGCACGATTTAGGTGGGTTGAATGTTTTGTACATACATTTTTTTTTTCTAAATGTAAGCCTTTTTTTATACAGCTCGAAATTACGTATATCATAATGAAAAAATTCTTTTGTTTTTTTTCCATAACCTGCTCCAAACTTAGATTGCAGTGCTACAAAAGTAACATTTGGCTGCTCTAAAAATTGCTCCAAATTCTATTTTGGCTTTTGCAACCCTGCATGTGATTGTGACCACACACACGTTGACCCACTGAAGACTGAATACCTGGCTCCAGAAATGACAAAAGCAGTGACGTCTTGGCCGTCACGGAGAATGTTCAGTGTGCTATCTTATCATCTTATGTTGCGGTCAAGTCAGGGTACACGTCATGGCCACTTCAACTTGTTCTGCTCCTTCTATATGACAGGGTCAAATTTTTTTCCAGCTGTGACATTTTGTAATAAGCTCCTCTATTGCAGCAGCACCAGCAAGAGAATCTTTGGTATTGGGATAGCAACTGCACCTCCATCATTTGCTGCTCTTAGTTGTATGGATATGGGCTTGTGAAACAGCTCTGAGTTGGGCCACCTTATTGTGGTCTGTGGGCGTAGCAGTGACAGGTAGCGCGCTGGTGGTGGCGAAGGCAAGGTCGTCAAGGTCTAATTCATGCCCAAATATAGTTAAACCTAGAGATAACAAAATTGATGAATTCCCGGAAAGTTTCGGTTTAAAGAAGATTTCTTTATGTGCAGGTTTGATACAGAAATTTGGAAAATAATCGCACAAATAAACCAAAGGGAGACTGAACGCAGAGTTAACTCAAAACTCTTATTTAGCGGTCAAAAACTGCATTACCATTGCGATAGCAGTTATATGGACACTCTCAGCGGGTATTTGCTGTCGGCCGCAGTTTGCCATAACAAGTTCAAATTGATAACATGCCCCGGCACATCGTAACTTTCACGAGTGAGTAAAAGCACGCGCTTCTGAATCAGAGATCAAATGAGTTGGCTCATCCCTATAGTCTGGAAGGCGCATAAGATAACATGCCTCGCATGTTTGAGCTTCCATCAAATGCTCAAACAAAAAGGAAACCACCCGTCTTGAACGATCATGAAAAAACACAGGGGGGGGGGGGGGAGGGGGGTCGTTCAACAACAATGAACTTTGATTTTAAGGGAGGTCACGATTGCTGGCTGGCTTTGTTATCTTGGCAAGTTTCTGTGCGCTTTCAATGCGAAGGGACTGTGTGAAAAGAGCACTTCTCCCTGGAGCAGCCCTCTGTGTTCACGGCACGTTTTGTCGGAGTTTCACAATATACATCAGATTCGAAAGAGTTGGCTGCCAGCCTTACTGCGTATAACATTACAAATTTTCGCTATCCGTTCATTGCATTACATTCAATGCGTCCATCAGTGTTGTTGCCAGAACTAATCAGCTAATAGCGAAAGCTACGAGCCTGCGAACTCTCGGTGCAGCGCGAGACGGAAGCGTGTGACAAGTCGACCTCCAAAGGCCTGTCGTTACCGTGGTCTCGTAGTTTCTATCAGTGCCTAATCTGACATTCCCTCGGTGGTGATAACACCGTGGTCCGCATTTGAAAAAAAATAAAAGCAAAAAGAAGTCACAGTTTCGCCACAACAGTGAAGAAATGATTGTGATAGTAATATATTCGAATGTTTTACGAAGCAAGGCTAGCATTTTAGGAGCAATAATTATTATACTAAACATGTGCTTGCTAAGTAAATAATTTTTCTGCAGCGCCGCCACAGTAGATCACCACAATAAGGCTCGTGCATATAGTGATGGCGTTGATGAAAAGTGCCTTCGGTGGGCAGCGAATGCTGCTACTAAGGGCTGTACGCCGTGTGTTATTGCTGGTGGCAGTTTGTTAAGTGTAGAGCGTATCTTTATGTGGGAAGGCCCTCCCTCGGGTGTGCTCGAAATGATAGCAATGTAAGGTCCACATAACGAAATAAATTACGTATATAATGATGTGTATGAATTGAAGATAGTAAATATAGTATTCGACAGAAGCACTAGGGAATATGAATGAAACACAGTTCACACAATGACAGCGACAACCACCTTGTGGTCACTGAAGTATGTTGGCAATGGCACGCAGTGCACTTGTGACGCAACATTCTTTTCGGTCACAATATCTAGACATGTTTGTTTTATGTAGTTGGCTGTGTAATGTCAGAAAGAAGGTGAAGTACAAGTTTGGCAGCAAGAAACGCCACAAACTATTCATTTTCACATCGAAGTGTATTCGCGTTGAAGTCTCCTGTGACAATCACCGGCACATTCTCTTGGCACACCGCACTGAGCTTGTGAAGCAAGAACTTAATGATGTCGTTCTGCTAGATTCCCAGCGAGATGTAGACTGCTGCGACGAGGAATCCGTGTAATGTTTTGACACATCGAAGTGTATTCACGTTGAAGTCTCCTGTGACAATCACCGGCACATTCTCTTGGCACACCGCACTGAGCTTGTGAAGCAAGAACTTAATGATGTCGTTCTGCTAGATTCCCAGCGAGATGTAGACTGCTGCGACGAGGAATCCGTGTAATGTTTTGACACATCGAAGTGTATTCACGTTGAAGTCTCCTGTGACAATCACCGGCACATTCTCTTGGCACACTGCACTGAACTTGTGAAGCAAGAACTTAATGATGTTCTGCGAGATTCCCAGCGAGATGTAGACTGCTGCGACGAGGAATCCGTGTAATGTTTTGACAGTACATGCATCACCACAAGTCACCTGGGGCAGCGAGTTAAGTTGGTATGGAACACTGTGCGGTAAAAGCATTATCCCGTCGAAGAGTTCGTGAATGATGACTTCAGCAGCTCAGTAGTTTTGCGAGGCTGATGCATTTGCATCTTGGCTGTTCGCCGGCAGCGTCCATCTACGTTTCCGTGAAGCGCAGTAGAGGTAGCTTGCAGATGACACGATCATGCAAGACATCGACGGCTGGCGCGGGCAACGAGGGTACGTTCATACTGCAAATTGTCAATGTGTGTGGTTACTGGAGGATGGCGAAGCACTTGGCAGTGATTGCATCAGGTCGACAAGTT